GGCCGGTTACGTGTCACCAATGTTTTATGGTGATACGAGATCTCCGCTTCCTCTTGTAAAAGGAAAGGGCTTCCAATTATACCGCTGATTGGTAAAGGAAAGTTTTTTAACACGTGGAAAAGTGCCGGCGCCGAGTTGATATGGATTTTCACGGTGCCTATTGTGTGAACCGTCGCCGGTGCCAAGCCGGTGATGGTCAAGCGTTCCCGCGTCGTGAATTCCACAGGTTTCCTCAGCGCATCGTAATCTACGAGGTTCACTGCTGAACCTCCATCGATTAAGAATTCTCCAATTTCTTCCTTCAATTCCGCAACTTTGATTTTGATCCGAGCGGCTGGGGCTTCTGTGAGGATGCGCGCATCAGATATTCCGTCGTCTCTTCCCGGAATTGAACCCTGCGGCGATTGTCCTTGCTTCCGTTCGTCACTTCGCCGCCGTAACGAACGCGACCGAAGTTTAAATCCTCCGTCGAGCTGCTGCGCGAATTCCTTTCTTCGAACCAACGGGTTTTTCTGCTCTTTTCCCAGCAGGTTTTCCCATCGTGTCCTTTGGTTCCGCAGTTCCAGCAGTACAGGTGGACGGGTGACTTTCTCCTATCTCGCGATCCATCGCGAGACACGTCATCCTGAGAGCCTACGGAGCTGTTCGAGGTGGACCTTCGTAAGATAAACGAAGGGGTTCTCCTTGCTCTTTCTTCGGTCTCCGACTCATAATCGGACCCGGATGCGCTCTTCTCCCGATATCGGTGGTACGCTGGCGAAGGGGAACGGGGGTAGGCGGCCCTTGATTTACGGCGGCTTTCCCAACCGTAACCCTCTCTCGAAGAATTGTCGTTCCGTCGGTTTCTGATTCTGTTATCGATTTCTAGAACAGCATCTATGGCGTCGTCCAGTGTCTCGATCTTGCGTTCCATCCGATGGACACGGGCCACGATCTTTTCTGGCAATCCATCGAAGAAACTTTCCCTTGCCTCCGTTTCTAATTTCTTCATGAGACGTTCGTCGTCTTCGCCTCATTCTTTCGAGCGGCAATCCGCGTGATATGCACTAACTTGCTCGTTCGATTAATATACTCCCGTAATGATTCGTCTGAACGTATTTTAAGTCGACTCAGTTCTTCGCGTAAAGCTGCTAAAGGCCGACCCGGCACGAACCGTTTTTTAAGGAATCTAATAAATTCGGCTACTTTCTCGAACTTTTTTACCTTGCGCGTACACTCTCGCGGGACCTTTCAACTTCGTCCGCACTATCGCCAAATATTCGACTTTTGTGTTCGGCGGTATTAACGCGAGACCGTCTTCGACTTGCTACGCGAAATTCGACAAGGAGGAACTTTCACCGTCAAAAGTCGATATTGCGGCCGTAGCGGCTTGTAAACAACTACGTTGCGTTAGATACGTCATCGAGTACGTTAGATTGGCCATTTCATCAGGCGTAAGCGTGATGTTCGCTGTCGGAATAGATCCAGTTGCCATTTTCTCTAGTTGACTGGAAAACTAGTATGAATTTAATTTAAGAACCGACTAGGAAAACTAGTATACGGCCGTTTCAAGGGTCTAACTAGAGCACTAGCAAATGCCTTGCAATAAAAAAATTTAATACGGGTTGACTAGAGAAAACTAGTATACAACCTGGGATTTGAAAAGCTATCTAGAGAAAACTAGAATATAGCGATCAAAATAAGCTGCCTAGGAAAACTAGGATATAGCCAATAAATAAGTGGTTATCTACGAAAACTAGAATATAACCGACGTAGTAAACTAGGCTGAGTACAGCTTCAACTAGTATATTCCACGAAAAATCCTGATTTGATTTCCTACAATAGATAAACACTGGAGTATCCCACCGCTGTCATCAGTTTGTTACGAGGGAGAACCGTGCCAAGGGCCCGACGGGCGACCGAGTCTGTCGGCTCTGTCAGGGTGCTTTTTTATAGGGAAGGAGATAGATGCGCGGACGAATCTTATCAAACCCTATGGGTTATCCTCGGGAGCCGCAGGACGTGGACGACGGGGGGAGGTTCAGTCCCCCTTAGCCACTTATGTATAAAGGGTTAAGGATGGCTGGTCTAGCCTTGACTTTTTAAGGAAAGGTGCGACGCGCGGACGAACCTTGTCAAACCCTATGGATTATCCTCGGAAGCCGCAGGACGTGGACGATGGGGGGAGTGTCAGTCCCCCTTAGCCACTTAGGTAAAAAGGTAGGTGGATTGGCAGGTCACCTGTCGTAGATACGTCTCGAGCGGTTAAGACGTATCGGTTGCGAGATACTCCGGTTATCGAGCTAATTTGGAATCAGGGGTTAAATGAATATTGAAGCGAATTTAAGAGTTTCAACTCAGTCTTATATTCTCCAAGGTACTCGATACAATATTCTTTATAAATGGTCAACTCTTACTCGAAGAGAATTCCTACTTCGATTTACGCAGCGAAGTCGCGGGGAAAATCTAAGTCTAGACTCACACGAATATTCTCAGCAGGGTGAGACAGCGTTTCCACGTCCTAAGACTCTTAGTTCACTAATCCGAAGGACTGTGGTCTAGCGCCCTTTATACCTAAATGAGGCCCTTTCCTGGGGTGGGGATGACCATATTTGGGCATTTTCTAGAAGGTTCCACGCTAGACTCGCTCCGTGAGTCACCCACGCAAGGGATGCGTACGTGACCAGCAACGAACGTTCTGGAAACGCGCAGGGCCGTATACATATACAGGGCTGTATACGTAACACTAGAATTAATCTTAGAGTGCGTAAACGGTGTCGGGTAACTTTAAATGACTGTGATAAACATTAATTACGTTGACGAACCAGTGTGACCGAAAACGAAATAGTTTATTCATGAAACCTTTTTCATTTGTTCGTATACATAGGTCGAAATGAATATATTCTCCTGGTGCCACAACTGATGTAACAATACTGCCACGCGGTTTATCAAAAAGCGTTCTAATATCTTTTGGTAAAGTACACAAGGATGAGATTGTAACATGAGGATGAGTTAAACCTTCTGAACGTAATAGGGATGACAAATTATTATCCTGAGCATAAGTCAAATTATTATCTACCATGTTTGGAGATTTAGCCTAAACAAAATTTAACTGGTACCGGAAAAGAGGGAAGCAAGTTTAAATGAAATAAAAGTGTTAATCCTTTTATGTACAATCGTTTATTGAACCGTTGAAACTATCGACGATTCCTTGAAAGATGTTACAAATTTGGATTTTGTATTTATCTTTTCTTCGGCGAAGGCTGAGGCCGACCGATTATCGTCTGTCCCTGTAAACAAACAGAATACCGAACGATTCGATCAATTGAAAGTAACGACTGAATAGCAGCCGCGGACTGTGAAGAATTATGTGAAAGAGAATACTCTTTCCTTCGTTGCCCTTATTTTTCGTACTAGATTTCGATATGCCGAAACAGTGCTCGCGTTACGCCGCTTGCAATTGCACGCACAGCTGCTATGGCTGTACGCGGAAGTTCGGATCGTAAATCCGACCTTCTACTGGCATGCACAAGCTCAGTACGCTTGCAAGCTACACTCTTTCCTGGTGCACCTTCACCAGGGAGATCGGAAACGCTTATTATTCGCGGAACTCTGCAGTATCGGGTGAATTATCCAATACCCACTGCAGGCCCTTGACGAATGCGTCGATCCCACAACCGGCGGTCGACCAACAATTGGCCACTGACCCGGAGCGTAATCCACTAGCAAGATACGACCTCCTGTTTGTATCTCGTTCCCTGCAAAGGAAATCAGTGCGGGGGCAACTTAAGGAGGAATCGAAAGAACTGATCTTTCGATTCTCTTATGCGGAAGTTGAAAAGGGTTGAGAGGGACTGGCATACAGTCTATTCCTCGTCCTTTCCTGTGATAATTTCCGATTATGAATTCTTCCTTTGTGAATAGTGAAAGCAGTATCGAAATATTCCGATCCGTTCACTGTGACGGCTATGTGCTGACAGACCGCGGAGCTCCGCTTGTCCGTCGAGGAAAACTAATCCTCCGCTATGCGGCGTCCTCGACGAATTAGTCTGTCCTTTTCTATTATGTATTCTTCTTAGAGCGAGAACACCTGTTCCGAGAATTCGAATGCGAATTCTCGTTACCAGTGATTCCGGCCGGCAGACGGTGTTATTATTTTTTCCCTCGGTACGGCTCGCGTTGACTCATCGATATAAAAAACGTCGCACCGTTTCTTATACTCGAGCAATTCGAAATCTAACGCTTTATTAAAATTTAATTCGATAAGGCCGAGAAAACTCCGTAAACCTTCCTTTTTTAATTTTAAAACACCGTTCTTTAAACAACCATGTATGTAGCTAAACGTTCACGAAAAGAAAGTTGGAATGAGGAGATGAAAGAATTATCTGAATCTTCCGAAGTATTTAAAAAAGTGGAAGAATCTTCTGTATCTACCTCTGCAGCACACGAAGAAGCTGTGACAGCATCCTGCATGTTTACATTCTCTACAATCTTTTCATGCGTAGAAATAACATTGAACGACGGAGAAGGGTTAGCAGAAGTAGAGGGAACAGCTTGCGTATGTACATATTTGACAACCTCCTCATGCGTAGAAATAACATTGAACGATGAAGAAGGATTAGCAGAAGTAGAGGGAACAGCTTGGGTATCATCTTTGATCTGTCTCGCATGCTCAAGGATTTTACGTCTTATCCTGTAGGCCTTTGCCTATCTGACAATTTACTCATTGGTTTCCGCCAACATGAATTTTCACGTTCCATAATACTTCAATAATGAAATACAGAGTTCAAGAAAAATGTAAATTAACCTCACTTTATGTTGCCACTGCGATGAACACGTCCGACGTGCACGATAGTCTGTGACCAACAGGACGAATCCAAAATGTCTGATCCTTTTCATCCCTGCGGTGGAGTCTAAAAATAAAAGTATGCTAAATGTGCATGCGCCAACTGTCCTCATTGGTCGTTCATGTACGAATTCGTAATCCGCATGTAAGAATCCGCGGACATTCAAACCGTTTTTTGTCTTTTAAGGGGTGTTTTAGGAGGAGTGTATGGGAAGTCAATTGTTCATCGGCTATCAACGATCGAACATCGACGACGAATACAAAGTGGTAAGATATTTCAATGAAAATAATGCTTCGAATGAAAGAAACATTTTATTATTTTACTTCAATGTTCCATTTCAACATTTCTTTCTACATTTACAGAAACATGAGCCCGCGCAGAGTCAAGAAAATGAAACTGTCTCTCCACGAGGCAAACAAGGAGCTTGATGACTTTGAAAACCTCGAGATGCTGCACACCGACGATAGTGATGGGGTCCAAGCGTTTTTGGAAAACGACGCTCAGTTCCCCACTTGCAGCGGGGAACCATCGTCGTACACGTAAGTTAGCAAGTTATATTACTATATGCCAGAGGTGGAGAACGTGCGGTCCCACGGCCACATGCGGCCTCCGTGAGTTTCTTGTACGGCATCCTTGTTCAGTTTCAAATCTAATTTATATTTCAATCTATTCAATTACTTTTAAGTAAGAAACAAATGCAAATATCCTCCTATTTAAAATTTTCCATCAGATCTTGAAATTATTTTCCGTAGTGCTATGTTAATTATTTATAACTTAATATTATTATTTTCCTATTGT